GGAGCAGGACAGTCGCTTGGATTTAAGACAAAAATATTCTTAGGTTTTACAGGGGCTCCTATTTATCTCTGTCAGACTTTTCCTTCCTTTTATTCATTTGAGGGCTTTGAGACCTAAACAGCCCAACAGCATTGCTATTCTTAGGATATTCTGATATATGTCTTTGAACAGACAAGACACCTGTGGCCATACCAACTCTGGATCACCCACCATCATTTCCTTCATGACCTTTAAATTTGTCAGATGAGACTGCTTTTTTTTCCCCCAGTTGCTTCATTCTGCACTAGATGCAATTTCAGGTCCCAGACGTGAAATCAGGCAGCACATTAATCAAATCTGCTTCCCAGTCTCTGCACTTCTGTCTTTCCATAGTTTATATCTCTGGCTAATATAACACAGATTTAAAAATAGGGGTATATTACTCTTTCAAAATACATACAATTCTGGTATCAGCAGTGGAATAAGCTCATTTAGATGAAAGAAACTATTTTCTTCTGGTGGAGCCAAATACCTTATCTGCCTCTGCTAGGATTACATCCAAGCGTTACGCCTCCTATGGTACGTAGGACTGATGTTGCATGCAAGTCATCTGCTCAGTGTATTTTTGATATGTTGTTGGAAAATATTTCCCCTAATAATTCTTCAGTGTATGCCGTGGCATTGGTCACAAAAAGAAAAAGCTGCATTAGTGAAATAAAAGTACAGATGGGTTTAAAATGTACTCAGTTAACATATGAAACTTAATGGCTATCTCTGTAACCGGGAGGGAGAGAAAGATTGTATCATCTGGACCACTTCTTGTTTATTCTTCAGTGGTGTCAGAGTGTCTAGAATGCTTTATCAGCATGGTTTCGCAGTGAAATGTATAGCCCCTATCTGAAGACTACACTTGAGGCAAAACACACAATAGTGAATGCAGAAAGTCTACTCGGAAAGGAAGAAAATGTGCTTGCTTCATGTGGCAAAAGGATTTAAAGCATTTTGATTAATTAGTGGCATAGTTAATTTAATAGAGATGGTAATTTTAGAATTCCTGACATATAGCAATGTTGGCATAAAATTAGACTGAAAACTGATAAAATCTGCACTTTGTCAAATTCTTTTTATTTCATAAACTAGTTCCTCAAACTTCGAAGTGAAGTTGTTTTTCTGCTACAGTTCAGTTGTGTAAAACCCACATATCACATTAAAAAAATAGAAAACTGTACAGTAATGCTTTATTTTGTTCTGGAGAAAATGATGTTGTCATGTAATTGCTTTTTTCTGAGCTCTTTCACTTGACCCTCGTTGCTTATTATAATGTTTTAGGTGCCATAGCTTAGGGTTTATCGACCCCTGCTTGTTACCCATTTGTTTTATAGTTACTGAGCATTGTAAGGACTGGAAAGATTAGTGTAAAAATTGTAATTTGGTCCTGTTCATTAGAAATGGATGTGGGAAAAGCGTTAGCAGTAAATGGCTGCCTTTTCAGCTTTTATTATAAAAGCCCGAAGTGCTGCAGTGCCTCACACTGCTCAGCATTACCTCGCTGAGTTCTGGAAACGCAACTTTGGCTGGGCCGGGCTGAGGATTGGTCGTACGAGGCAAAACAAGGAAAACTGCATGTTGGAGGAAAGTTGTTTATCATGACTTTTTTTTTTGTTTCCCAGCATATGGTCTTTCCAATCTCCTAAGCAGTCGCGTCGCCATAATTAAAGGGGAACCATAAGCAACTACAATCTTTTCAGGTTGCCGGTGCGTGTTCCTTTAATGAAGTGCTTTCATGCAGAGCAGTACCACATCTCGTGGCAGCCACCACCTCCTGGTGCCGTTGAACTATTTTGCAATACAGTGGCTACCATCATTTTTCCTTCGGGGCATGTACAGACAAGTAGTGTATTACCGATGGTCCGTAAGCCAGGTGTCGAGCTTGGCTGCACGCAGCTTGAGGAGACTGATCGCAAACACTCGTATCTTGGTAAGGTCAAAACATTAGAATATTACGTATGAATTCAGACCACTGTCATGAATAAAACTGTATGTATATATAAAGTAAAAATTGATGTAGTAATCAAAAGTTTCCCAGAGTGAAATGAAAAATTCAAAATGAATGTGAAGAATCAAAAAGATGTATTGGACCTTTACAGTTTTACTGGTAAGAAAAGCCATGGGTGTTTGCACCTTCTGTCTGCTGCTCTGGTAGAGAAGGAGCAGAGGAACATGCCTCGCCAGATTACTTCCAATGCTTTTGTTTGAACAGTCATGTTTGAACAAATCAGGAAGCTCTTTCTATAAGGATTTAATTTTCAGGTGTGAATTACAGAAAACAGAGGGTTTGGCACACTATGTGAAACCTTCAGTATCTAGCACAAGTAGTATATACCTCAATCCTTCAGTTCAAGGAACAGACTTGATAAATGGCTTACTAAAAATAACCATTAAAGGTCTACCCTAAGCACTTTTATACTGAATTAACTTAAAATTTTAAATTTAATAAATTATTTCATTTTTAAATTTAATTACAGCAATTTACTTCAGATAATTCAGAAGCTGGGTTTTATACTTCAATAAAAACTTAACAGCATAAAAATAAAACAGAGACAACACATACTTTCAAAGTTAGTTTTACCTGAACTCATTAGGCAACACAAGCCTTTTTTCCTATCAAATATGTCCTGTATATCTGTTTGCTTCCAAGGGAAGTTAAAGCAAGATGAAATGTAGAAAAAAAGCTTAACTGTGTACTTCAGCTGGACTGTGTACTTCAACTCTGAATACATCAAATTATACCGAAGAGGAAAAAAGTACATGCTGTATTTACATGGATCCTAAGAAGTTGTACAGTTTTTTTATTCTCCTACTTGTACAAAAGAAACATTGAATTAACTTGATAATTAGCCTGGGCATACATTTCTAAAAGCTTCTCAAACTGTAAGAAAAGGTACCTTAAGATCTATGATTTTAAATGTAAATATTTATTTTAAAATCAGAAGATGCGAGGCTGCTGGTAGCATTTTGCTCATTGAAAATTTCAGTGGATACATAGTTTTGTACCTTTTCTTCGCTTGAGAAACTACACAATAGTGTCCTGAACTGTGAGTTTTCTGTTGTGGACTATTACCCACTAAGTCAAATGAGCAAATTTATTGTGTTCAGGAAAAGGACTTTGTACTCCCACCTTCACTTGGTCGGTCATCCTGTTAGTATTTCAGAGACAGTTCTCTGCTCCTCGCCCTTTTATTTTAGCACATCATCAGCAACTGAAGACATCCAGTAAATGGTTCGCTTTTTTTTTTCTTTAACACAGATTTTCTTTATGTTTGAGACACCATTTCATTTAGTCAGGCGTATTTGCAGATAGCAATTTGTACTGCACCCTGTAAAAAGGGTTAATAACTCTTAACAGTTGAGGCGCAGAAGACCTTAGTGGAACTGTAGAAATAGTTGTATTACTACTCATGCACTGAAGATGCATTATGCCCCAATTCTACGGCTACTCTGTGCAATTTCAAGTTACCAAAGGCAGCCTTGTATGACAGCTTTGTCGTCATTTGCAAGGAGAGCTGAAGAAATGACTGTCTGATAGGCTTCCTCTGTATCTTTCCCTGACTTCTGTTCATACCTCTTATTTTTTTCAGCTAAGGCGGGAAATGTAATTAGCGTGTATAATGACAGTTACAACTGCCCCAGAAACATGAGGTTGATTCCCACGACGGCTGAAAACCCATCCATGCAGTATGTATAAACAGGCCCAGTTTCTGAGTTCTAATTGACTTTATTAATGTTTAGTGCAGGAAGTACGAAGGCAACTCAAACAAGGATATAAAAAGCACTGAAGCATTGAAACACCGGTTTCATGTAACTGACTCTTATTGAAAGACATATTTTTCAGCATTTTCTAAAGAAAAATAGAGTAATTTAGAAGAAGGATATTAGATACCTAATACACTCTTATAATAAGGAAGCTTTCAATAATGGAGCAAAGATACTAATAGTAGCTTCCTACTTGGTAACATAGGTAGCAATTCTTTATGGTGTGCAATTAATAAATACGATGGTGAACATGTAACGATGTACAATGACAGTGCGATAAAAGAGATGCAATTATGTGCAAGATTCCTATTGTGCCAGCAAGTAAGACTTTACAGGCTACTGGAAAATGAGTTTGTGAAAAACCAATTGTAAAAACCTTTTCCATTACATGTTTCTTTTATAGAAACATATTAACTCACACGTGCAAAGATAAAAAATTACACTGGTAAATAACTGTGAAGACATTTTCCCCCACTATGGACACAGTTGCAAAACCTTGCAACTACAGAAATTGTATATATTATTTTGATATAATAATCATAACTAAGCTTAACAGCAGTGATACATTAAGCACACATAAAGTATATTACTTGCATAGATTCTTTTTGTTTACTGTCCATGGATTTCCATTTTGTAAATACATATATAATTCAGTAAGCTTTGGTGCTCTTTGATGAACTCAAACTGGAACACGGCTGATTTATACAATACATGTTTCCTGTTACTAAAATTGCAAAAGATGCTATAACAATAACTTTTAGGTGGTAAAACCTCTTAAGTATAGCAATTGCAGTAGAAAGTATAAGAATATTTTTGATGTTATTTACTGACCCTTATTCCCAGGTATGATGATTTAACAGTATTTTAAAGCTATTCTTATTCTCAGAAGCTCTCAAAACATGTGGTCAGCAGTTTGTCCACTAAAAGGATTGTGCCTTGGAATAATTTAGTATCTGTTTCTTCTGATATTTTTCGTATGCTCAGTAGGTAAAAAACACGTCGTAAAAATCATCCTGCAGTTATGCAAAACTATAGTATCATTTTGTACAGTCTTGCAAACTAACAGTTTAGAGGAAGAGTATTCATCCACAGAGAGTTTGGGAACTCTGAAGTATGTAATGTAAATAACAGAAAATTAGTATCTCTTTAAAGATGTAGGCTATTACCGCTTGTTTTTAAGCTTTGATTTAACCCTTTATATGATTATTCTATAGTGCTCGCAGTCTTGCCAGGAGAGCGTCTACTTCTGGCATGGCTTCTCGCTTAGAAGGAGACCCGACAGGTTCTGTTTTCTTTTCTTTGTTGCTTTCTCCATGACAGGCTTCCTTTCTCCCCACGGCCTTGTTCCATCCTGTAGAAGAACTTGTTTCCACATCATAAGTAACTTCTTTGGTGACTGGGCTTCTTGTCAAGTTTAAACTGATACTGTGGTGCGAACATGACTTCTCTAGTTGTCCTTTCTGGTTCTCTGCAGAAGATAAAAGAAATAAACCTTGTTTCACTACGAAAATACTCAGTTTCAATATTTTGTTATATAAAAAGACCGCTTGATCAGACAAAATTTTACATGCAGATGACGTACCAGAAGAAGTAAAGGTTTCCAAGGAGGCAAGACAAAAAAAAATTACCACTTCAAAAGCAGTAGGCTTGGTACAGTCTTTAGATTACTTCATTAGATTAGCATCCATATTTCCTACAAAATCACAGATAGAGCCCGACAGGATCCTCCCTTCTTACTGGAGTCAAAGAGAAAACAGAGTACTTGGCACTCCTCAGTGTCTTCCAGAGTTTTATCTGGTTTTCTACATATTTTTTAGACGTTAAAATTTTAAAATGCATTTTAAAATTCTATTTAAATTTAATTATCCATTGTAAGAATTCTTCTTTCCTTTCTGATCTTTTAGGCAGCTAAGTAATTTTAAGAATTTGCATAACTTGCCATTTTTTGCGAAACATCACTGGCACTGACTGTCACAAGAAGTTCCACTCATTAAAAATCTAGGAGCTTTGCTGGATTGACATGTATTAACAGACAGATTTCTTTTTTGTCTCCCCCCCAAATGAAGTGACTGTTCTCAAAAACAGCGTATGAGTGGTCCCTCTCAGAGATTAGATCTCAAACTTTTTAAAAACAGGCATGCTCAATATTCATGTAACCTTGAGCAAGGCTTGAAAATGGCTTCAACCAACTTGACATGACATTTAAAGTTTTTTGGTTATTCGCTGAAAGATGTTCCATCATCCCAATAGTAATGACTTTGGAGCACAGGCAGTCACTCATGACAGTGTGTTTTATGTGAGTGCTGCAAATTCCTACTGAAAACAGCTTGTACATTAAAAGGCAGCTGCTGAAGATATTTACTGCACTGTCATTCCCTGACCAGGGGCTCTCGGTGATGGATGAGGATTTTACACACTTTCTTGGATAACCTCAGCAGATTTTGTAAGTTGAATCACCTTTTGGCAAGTGGAGGAAAATAAATATCATCAATCTATAATCTTCCAAATCAGATAAACAATTCTTAATTAAAATTTGATAATAGTTAAATTTTGCACTTAGATGAAAAATGTAATTTCTATTTTGTGCTATGGAAAATAATTTGACCCTGAAGATGCAGCGGCACACATTTCAGTTTTCCTGAATCACAGGAGGCCAAATACTAGGTATGAAAACATCTTTTTAATTATATATAATAAACCCATAACATATAATTAAAGTATCCCTGTTATTTACACTCTTAAATATCCCATTCTATTTAAATCTTTATATTTATTGATTCTGAACACGTATTTGCAGGCTGATAAAAGCATGCTACATGTATCAATATACCAAACACTAGCTGCACCATATCCCTTTTTGTTTACATTCAGTCTAGGGGCAGTGGGAAAAATAAATAGTGTTTTGAAAATCAATACTTTTTTTTAAAGTAGGAAAAAACATATTGTCATATAATCAGAGATTAAGTATAGGTGTTGGACTTTTTAAAAAGCCAACAATAAATTAGGCACTGAAAGTAAACTTCTCAAGCATACCAACACCCAAATTCTAACTACTTGGCAGTTCAGCTAAGTCTTCCATTCAAAATACTCAAGCATGATTACATAGGCATGATGACCTAGACTGAATAATGGAACGCTTATGAACTGAGGCCTTAAAGTAAAATCCAGCAATATTATTTTGCCCAGTTTCTCATTGAGTGTGAGGAGCAGAAGAAGGTGCCTGAGATTTAGAGCAGCAAATAGTCTAAGCAGGGAACTGCTGCAAGTTAGCTATTAAGAAGTAGCAGATGTTGGCATCTATCTAAACTCAGTTCCCGCTTTGAAACTTGGTAACTGATTTAACCTTGCAGAAAGGTGTGTCCCATAACTTGCTGCCTACGATCCTGAATTGCTGTGTGGGGATAGTGACTGAGTAAAGCTGAGTACAGATGTGTCTTCCCTCCCGCCCCTTAAAATAGCAGCAATCATGTTGATATTTGTGACTTTCCAGGCACAGACTAATGAGGGGAACATGCCACTTGAGGGACCAGAGTCCTTCCCTTCAGTCTGAGGGGTCCTGCAACCACAGGAAATGCGATTAGGAAACTGCCTTAATCACTGGCCAGTTTATGTGAGTAGTCCTCGTTTCATCTGTTGTAACTCCTGTCCAGCGACGAACCCATGATTCACTGGAAAAGTCACAAAGTGTCCTGTTCTTAACACACGACACTTTACGCTAGTGATCAGCAGCACTTCCTAAATAATGAGAACGCTTTGGTCTCAGCCATGCTACAAAAAATACCGAGCAGCTAGTGTCAATTAAAAAAAAAAGAAGATTTGGACACGTATTTTATCTAAATCCAGTTTTACTATCTCGAAGTTGTTATTTCAGCTGCTTCCTAAATCAAGAGGCATCTTTACTCCATATGTTCTTTCAACCTAGGAGGAACTTCTCCATACAACACTGCTATGCCGAAGTGCAGGTGCAGTATCAGCAGATGTGTTGGTAGGCAGTTCCCCGCGTAGTAAACTGGCTATTGTGAATCCCATTCAGAAACATTAAACTTTGCTAGGCCTGGCTCAGAAAGCACACATATTTACTTACAGTCCTAGATTTCACTTTGGTAAATATGTACCTAAAGAATTAACTGCTGTAATACTTAAGGTATGTATGCTGCTGGTGGCATTCTTGGAGTGAAAGATCACTTCCATTTAAGTCAAAGGTTAAAATTATTCAGGTAGTGGCAAGATAACAAGTCTCACTAATTCTTCAGAAATATTAACACCTGCCCTGCCAATTTTTTATTTTAATAAAGCAGGAATTAATTTGTGTTAACCCCAAATTCTTAAACACTCTGTACTGCCTCACACACTGATTCAAAGCTTGCATGTGTTGGTGGTTTGGTACCCCGCCCGTTCCACAGTCATGTCTTTGGATTGCTGCCACACCTCTCTCAAATCCTATGCTCTAGTGGTAAAACCTGTAACTGTTAAGGTGGGTGGTTTAAAAAGGCCAAGCCACCTTGCATATGAATTAAAAACCACAAGGGTGCAAGCTGCTGCAGGTTAGCACGTAACTTTGATCGGGACAGTAGAAGAGCTGGACTTGTTTAGTTTCGTGTGATAAAGGCTATGAAGGATGTAGTTATTTACTCTGAAGAAAAGCCCCAAGTCAAGTTTAACTGATAAAGCCAGCACAAGAATAAACACCCCTTAATATGTCTCTATTAGAAACTGAAAACTTGTGAACCATCAAAGTAACGAAGTTTCGGAATGCACATACATAAAAGTGAGAGCAAAAACCGCAAGCACTTATAAGCTGGAATTCATCTATTTCTGAAGACAATATTTGATGTGGCTACCTGCAACAGCAGGAGAAGGCTTAGTGACACTTGCCACTGTTTTAATCCTCTGTTTCTAGAACACGGGTACCCACAGAAAATCCACAAATCATACAGATATTAACAGACTTCTCCCAAACTACTTTGAACCATTACATCGCGTACTTACACAGATTTACTTTATGTTTTGGCAGTAAACTATATTTGAAACAAATTGCCAAATAAAATAAATATATTTACACACTTACAGACCTTGGTTCAAATACACTTTTAAAAAATCGAATATAACAAAGTTATAGAAGGTTAAAAGAAAACTACTCATGGAAAAGCACTTCTACATGAAGTCTTGTTAAGAAGAAAGCTTACATTTCTGGAGATGCACTATTTGTCCACCTACTGTAGCAAGGTGCACCTTCCGGGCAGTAGCAAGACAAAAAGAAATCAGACATTAAAAATCACTGGACAAACACAGAACTTGTTGATTTGCTGCATATATTCAATTAGTTGAGACAAATTTCTAATGTTTGGTCACTGTCAGCAATCAAAACCTGTCATTCACCTTTATCATAACAATCACTACGCAGATGAATAAAAAGCAAAAACTTTGAATTAATATTCAAATTTTCTAAATGCCAGGGTGAGAAGACATATACCCATAATAGTTTTGACTTTACTGCTACTGAGTGCTTCCAGGCATGGGTTAGGCAGAAATCGCATTGTACACTACTACAGTCTCAGTGTCCAAATTCTTTGACATTTAAATCTTTTTCCTTCCCTTTGTTCAGTATCTAATTCTTGTGTGTCCTTCAGACCTATTAAAATTCAGTTTTTGCAGATATGAATTTCCTGAACATTGCTGTTAATCAAAAACATTTCAAAATCATATTCACATAACCTAGAGCCAAATAGCTACTATCATCTAGACACAAGTCTTTTAAAATTACTTTGATTAACAGCAATGCTCAGGAAATTCAGTTGACAGAAAATCATGCTTAATAGCTTTCCATAGTTTAAACGGTGTCCCAGCACAGAATAACTTATAATGACATGCTTATAATCTATTAAAGGCTACATATTTTATATTCAGAAAGAGGAAATTGTGCACTAGCATGTGAACAAAAAAAATCAGTAGTATGAGACCCGCCTGCTGTGAACCTGGGAAAGAAAAATATGATCAGTTTGATCCTGCATAATACTGTTATACATTACCTTTACTAGAGAACAAAAATGATTGCAAGGGACTCACTAAAGTAGAGATACAGATTCTTTTAAAACAACTAACAAATATTTAAAATAAAAAAGGACTTTGAAAAGCTTTATTTCATCGCACAGTTTCTCAATAAAAGTCTGGATACTAAGGACATATTTAGTTTTTATGTAAATACTTGTACACCGATTGAAAAATCAAGTTGCAAATACAATAAGAAGAACTGCATTACATGGCATTATGTGCTTGTATTACAGTCATACATCTCAATGTGGGGCATGACAAAATCATAACATAAGAAAGAACAATTGCCGCTACAACCTCATTACATCTTTTACCAACTTAACAGGGAAAAATGCTCAAAACCCCAGCGGAATATTTCCAATCTCTACAGCTTGTGCTCCATGTGCTCCACTGTATTCCTGAAGCTACGTCTACGCT